CAGACACTTTTGTGTGAATAACATTTGTATAATACCACAGCTGGTAAACTTTGGATGCAATGTATTCCAACTCTTTTAAATGCAAAAGAGATGGTGCTTTTGAATCCAGGAAGTAGTTCCAGGTGCGTCTGGATAAACAGTCCCATATCACTGGAAAAAATACGTGCACACTGACAGTAAAAGAGCCTCTGTAGATTTAGCAAAAGAAGAATACACTATATGTACCCAAGGACGCCTCATGTCTCTTGAAATGTGTTTCCTCGATTCCCCTCTCCTTCCATTTTTTTTCCTTACATCTTCTCCTCGCTTCTTACTTGGGCGAGGTGAAGACACAAGTGAGGCAAACAGTAGTGTACAGTATATAAAACACACTGCTGTTCCATGCTACTAGTGCGGCTCAAAGCTAGAAGATGCACTTCAGGGAAAAATTACAGGTTATTACATGTACAAGCAACGACAACATGGTAAGTCAATCTCACACTACCTGTGGAGGTGATGTTGCCACTGAAACGCAGGAGAAGCTGGTCTCCCTCACACATGGAGATCTCTGACGAGGTCTCCAGGAGGCTGCTGTAGCCCTGAGCTCGCAGTTTGTTCCGTTCCCAGCTGAGGTCCCTGCTGGGCAGGAGAGCCACCAGGACCGTGTGCGGCTCGTCCTGCCTGCGCTGGAGGAGGATGGTGACCGCGTGGCAGCAGACTGACTCCTCTAACTCCTCTGCCAGGGAGGTGAAATGACAAGACTGCAGTGTAGAGAGGAGACGAACCACCAGCAGCCTAGGAAAAGGTAGACACACAGAGACAGGCCAAGTTAAGAAGCAGAGTTCAATGGAGAGAATAGATTGTGGCTGAGGAGAGGGAAGAGATGAGTCTGTTATCATGAGCCTGAATACAAACTTAATATACTTAAGGCAGAATAAAGAATTCATATTACCTACTGGACATATATTAAATTAAACAAAATGTTCCAAATTTTAAAGAATACGATGTCTGTAAGAAGCTCTAGGTATGTTTTCCTTTACACTGTATCAATTAGTTCAGTCAATCAGTTTTCTCACAAGATTTGTTTTAGATATTTAGATACAGATACACTGCCGAACATCGCGTTGTGGCTGCATATTTTAGACAAAAGCTCCATAAGTGTTTGTTTTCTTTAAGGAAATATGAGTAATTTTGTCTTAATTTTTGCTTGGTGAGGAATGTCTTGTTTCAAAAAGTAATATAAAATAATAATAATGATTAGGTGCCAATAAATACTTTTAGAAAAGAAAAAATTCTGCTGCTAACTTGTCAAAGTTCTCCATGAGCTCAAACGACACTAATCCGTTCTGCTGGTTCCTGATGGCAACCTTCTCCAGGAGGCTCCACTGCTTGTCCTTTGAGCCCAGAACGATCAGCGTCTCACTGGAAGTCTCCTTGGAGGACTTTAAGGAGGCACCCGAGAACCTGACCGAGATGTCATAAAGCAAAGTATTGTTATTAAAATTAATTATGAAATGTTAACAACGAGGTTTAAGAGAAGGAAAACAACTGGTTTATCATCAGCAGTCTCCTTGCATAGATAGGACAGACACAAAGAGTCTTTATCTTACCTCACTCTGTGTGAAACAAGTTGATCCCGTGGTGGAACAGCACTAAAAGAACACATGTGGTGATGCTGTGTCTCTTCCCCTTGGCCCCTTGCGCCCCTCTTCTTTTCAGGGTTCGGAGGACAGGGAAGGGTCACGCTCAGCGGCCTTCTCAGTGGCTGTGAGGTAGGGTGGGTGAGGTAGAGCAGCGGGCTCGTAGACACCACCGAGCGATAGGCATCGTTCCTGGATTTGACAGCAACCAGGAGGATGGCGTCTACCGGCTGAATCTGAACCAGATGAGGAAACAGCTGCGGTTTGGACAGAGAGGCTGTGCGATACAAAAGTAATCCCCACACAACATGTTGTTTTATCAAAGACAAACGTGAGCGCGAGCTGTTGGGATTTGACACAGGGTGAAGCAACAAACTGCTGTGATGAAGGTAGCTCACCGACGATCAAACCCACATGTCAGTGAAAGATATTTTTCTCACTTCTCAGTCTCAAACATACATAAGAAATCTGTGCTTATATTAAAAGGAGCACTGGACATAAATAGATAGTCATCAACCATCATCTTCATACCATGCTTTGTGCCATTACTGGTGCAGCGAAGGATCCTGGGAGGTAGCTGAGAGAAACGCGATGGTCCATGGGCAGCTTGAGAGACAATCCTCTCCTAGGAACGGTGTACGTTTCTCTTTTTAGACAGGAAACCACTGCAAACAGGCCCAGGGAGTACACCCTCACCTCTGCCAACGAGCCCTGGCAAAGACATATAAAACAAACATAAACAAAAATATCCCACTCGCTCAACGGTTTTTGACAGAGAGCAATATTCTCTCTTATATTAAATCAACTACGGTCTTGGGAATCATACTGTTGCTCCTGCTGATAAGAGAGAACAGTGCCCAAGACTTCTGAGACTGTTGATCACTGATACTACAAGTATAAAACCTGCTGTAAGTGGTTTCAGTAAGAATGTTTATGCTGATGATTGTAAATCCAAAATAATGGAAATCACGTAAGGTGCACCACAAGGCTCTCAGATCCTAAAATAAAAGACAATGTTACCCTCTGTCCTTCGTATGTGCCCTCTGTTGTTACAGGAGTGATGTAGCTCGCCCTCCTCTCCCCGTCAACCACCTTGACAGCCACGTCCCTGTAACTGCTGCGGTAACGTGCCCAGAAAGGCACAGCCACTGTCACGGGGAAGGGCAAGTTGGCTCCATCTTGAACTCTGACCCTGATCACTCTGCTGACCAGCTCCTCCGAGCCGGTCACCATGAGGCAGCTGAAGGTGTCGGCCGCTTCGCACCTCAGGACTTCAGCCACACCTGCAGATGCTCTAATAAAGCATGCATCTGGTATGTGCGACTGGCTGCCCTCTAGTTCACCGATGAGCCTGGACATTAATTTAAAATAGATATACAGTATGTATGAAAGCATTCTCTATGCTGTACACGCTAGAATTCGAAGCTCAAGTTGAAACAAATGACATGGGAGACTGTGCACATCACAGAATCTTAAGAAAAAGCTTCATACTGCATGGTTTGCTCCCAACATCAATAAACTAAACTAATATTACTGCATCTATCTTTGTAGTTGTAATAGGAACATTTGGCATCTTAAGAATTTCTAAAACACTAGAATTCAGTGTCTAGCAGGTTTGTCCTCTCAGTCTGATAAGATGTGTCTAAAATGAAGCAGCAGACATCAGGAATATTAATAATTAATTACAAGATGATTTAACAGCACAAAACTGTCGTCAAAACAGTGATGATTTTCTCAGCTTACCCTATGGCGATCCATTCACGCTTTGTCTCCTCTTTGCTGTTTACCATCTCCGTGTCCTTTTCTGTCTCCTCCAGTGAATCTATCTGACTTTCTAGAGAAACACAGCCTTCATTACCACTCACTTGACCTTTGACCTCTAACGCTTTTCCAGTTTCTTCCACACTGTTGCAGTCAGAATTGCCGAATATGGAGTCTGACAGTTGGTCTGGTGACGGCCTTGTATAGCTTAGAGCCCCTCCATCCTCAACCTTAGATTCCAGGTGATTGTTGCCATCTTCAGGTTGCTCTGGCATTTCTGGATCTCTGGTTTCCTGAAGTGAGGCCTCTTCTACAGACACGTGGAGGATTTCTGCATCCAGCTTGGTTATGATCGTGTTCAGTTTGTCGACAATATTCTCTATGTCCTCAGCAACACCCTGGAAAGTTCTGCTAAAGGAGTCTGACCAAGGTGTGGCTTCACACTCTGGCCCTTAAACAAGTAAAACAGACAACCCTTACTAGACAAACCTCTGCACATTTTAGATTCTTTAACTATAGTCAAGAACGCTGATGACAAATATTTGCTTAAAATATTTGAAGCGCATCTGAAGTCTCTTCAATAACGCTTCAGCTCCTTTCAGGAATTTTATTTTAACTGGCTCATTAACTTCAGCACGTACACTTAAAGAAACGGCATCAGTTTCAAATACGCATCAAATTCAACTCTGCATTTAACACTAACCAAGACATTTGCTTATACTTTAATGTTCACTTGATGCTTGAACTACTTTCTCTCTCTTTAACTGGCACTGAAATTTCAAAAGTTCCCAAGACTCAATGTGATAAGACATTTTATCTTGTCAAATGTTATTTTTAACATCTCTAAAATGCAGAGAAACATGGGTCAGTTCCTCTACTGTACCTGCTGTAGGTGGATTTTGTCGATCGCTGCCACCTGCTGGAGACTTGTTGAGCGTGCGGGCACATTCTTCCAGGGCTTTTCTCCACGCTGTCACTCTGTCTGAATGAAAAACGCTCATCTTTCTCAGCACTGCCAGAACTCTCTTCTTGCACTCTTTCTCCACCTGCTCTTCATCAACATTCCTCCTTCGCCCTCCATCCTCTCCATCTTCTGCTGGATTGAACATCCCTCCTTTACCCCTCTGTATTTCCTCTGGTTCTTCTCCTATGCTTCTCCTCCCACCCACCGCCCCATTACAGTGATTCCTGGATTGTCTGACAGCTTCAAGCACCTGAATAGTTTCAGTCATCATGTTAAGGAGACCGTCGTCACCCCTTGTGTCATGAAGAGCTTCATCCATCTCTTTAATCATATGTGGATTTGCATCCATGCTGAGCTGGAAAATACAACAGGGGTCATGGTCGGGACTATCTCATCAGGCCTGTATTTTTTTCCCCTTGTGCAGTCTGTGCTGCATAAAAGTAATACAGTCATTTAACAAAATATGGTGAATAATATCAAATATGAACTAAAATACACTGCATTCTCTTGTGTAGGCTACCTCCTTTTAGAGTTGAAGTCCAGTCCCCCTTGTTTGCTGTGTCCTCGGTACTGAGTGTTACTGTGTCCAACTATCCCAGTTTAAAGCAGCCAATGCTGTATTTATATGGCTGCCAGCAGTAAAACATGTTGCCGAGGTGACCCTCGGAGGCGTGGCAGGGAGGAACAAAAGAGCAGACGATTCACAGGAAGACAGAGTGCCGTCCTCCAGACACCTCTTCCCCCGCCTTTATCCTTCTGTCACTCATTTTTCTCCTGTTAGGTCACCTCCCGAATCATTCGAAAACAACTAGCGGTCAGAAGGGGATTTTGCATAATATTCTTATTTTAAATACAGTGAATGGTAATTGTTTCACAGGCATATGAATGTTGAGGAGGAGGTCTAAGCCTGAAACATCACAAACACTGTGGGAAGCTTCAGTTTGTGGATTTGCATATTCAGTTGATGAAGAAATATACTGTAACAGTCTTAAACTGCTGCATTTCAATGAAAATCCATTGCAAATGTTATATACAAAGGTATTATCAACAAACTGAGTTTTAAAGTATCAGAGGTAAAAGCATTCATTTCCTTTAATGCACTGCAGAGATCTTCGTGGGATGGTGTCCCAGCAGATAGTTTGATTTCCCACATAAAGAAAAATACAGGTGTTGTTATTAATATCAACAACGTCTCTGCTTTATTTTAGTACCAGCCCAATAAAACGGAGGCAGCTACATTAATTATTCACGTTATAAACTGTTACATGTCAAAATATCTTCAGCGAAAAAGGAGTATTTAAGTATTAGAGCCACAGTGCTGCAGCACTTTGTCGCCATCGTGTGGCTGCTTTGTGCAACTTGTACCCTGGTATTTTATTACCTATTTTATCTCTTATTGTTTTGTCATTACTAATGATATCCATCAGTGGAAGAACAATATGACACGGCACGAAATAAAAACAATAAATATATTGAAAAATTCTATTGAAGGGCCACATATAATTTTAGTTTTTAAAATCTGCAATACAGTTAGAAACTTACTGCCATTTTAATCTGCTTGTAGTAGTTGTATTCATAGTATGTCATTTTTTCACAATTCATTGTACTAACTATATATATGTTTACAACATGTTAATCCTTGAGGCTTTCTGCCTTTAATGTTAATGTGTTTACTTTGGCGTATCACTGCAAATGCCAGTCTACAACGGAAATTCCCAATGTTTTGCAACAATGGCATACACCTTTTAAATTCAGCGTTATATTTAACTCTGCTGCACCTTTAATAAATAATGACCAAAAGGTGTTCTTTCCTCCTCAGGACTCGCTTCATTATGTGTGTGCGAGGCAGGCTGCTGCGTTCCTGTTGGTGCTGAATGCGTATCCTGGGGCCTCGGGACCAAGCTGGGACATGCGTATTCCCAGGAACATACCACAATTGCCTCCACTTTGCATGCACACGCGCTTTTTTGTGTGTAAACAGACTTAGACCTATCTGATCCATCAAAGAGATTAATTTCTCTTACACCACACTGACAGACTGACCCGGTGAGTGGGCGCAACAGGGTCCCGCAGAACACCATTCCTGGTTGCAGTGTTTAGCCTAAGGAGTATAAAGCAAAGTAAGGTGACGACTTCTCTTCTGAAACGCACACCATTGCAGGTAATAAGTGGCCGTGCGCTGAAATGGGCGTTACTCTCAACGCATGAGCAGACAGGGGACGGAAACTGACGCGTGTGTGAAAACGTGCCGTGAGGACAGAAGACAGACAGACAGACAGATTAATAATATGTCAGAGGCTGGATACAAGTGTGCGTAAAGGTGCGCGGATGATGCAGAGCCGTTCTCCTGTTTTTAACCCGCAGGTAAGTTTTGCTAAACGTCGTACGGTAGCGCGTTACGCCAACATCTTGACTCCAAGTGTTTATGAAAAGCCGACTACAATTAGCAGGCACGATTAAACTAGTTTAAGTTAAATTAGCTGCTTAAAGCGTCCGAGCTGGAGGCACCACCAGTCGTTTCTATCATTTACCAGTCATTTTTGCTGGTTAAAATAAGTGTAAAAAGGAAGTGGAGTAAAACCGCATCCCTCAGACATGAGTTTAAAAATAATCGTTTTACCATTTCCAACATGTGCAAACACACAAATGCGCACATCACATACGTGTGACCCACTGATATTGCTGCTACCTGCCTTTTTAAAAAGGCACAGAGGCTCCTACCCAACCAACCAAGCAACATTTGCGGAAGGATTGCTTAACAAAAGTGGGTTTTGTGTTGCATTCTTGCAAAGGTGTGTGTGTGAGTCCTCAGCCTTCTGGCTAAATCTGACACTTTTACATCTTTGCTGTAAATTAATTTGTATTTGTCCCGCACAAATAAAGCAGTAAAGAAGGAAACAACATTTAATATTGAAATTTAGGATATTTAGATAGAGAACACAAATTGCAAACCAGGAAGGGGATACAAAGTGGACTTTGTTCAGGGTTGGCTGGCTGAGGGATGTGCACAGGTAGGTGTGCTTGCATGCTGTGACTCACTCCTAGTGTACCTGTGCTATTGTAGGAGTCACCAGATAGTGGGTGTAACACAGACACATACCTGCTCTGTGCTGGCATAGTTTTGTTTTGTAGAAGAAGGAATCTCTTTTAGCCCTGTTGTGTGTCAGTGAGTTGTGTGTTTTATCTTTATGTCTGCATGCTCACCAGCTGTTCTCATGCCCATATGGTTTGTGTGTGTGTGTGTAAGCTGGTTCACTTCTCATGCCCATATGGTTTGTGTGTGTAAGCTGGTTCATTTGTGTAGTTCTCCTTTTGCTGTCCTCTGTACACAATCTGTGGACCAGAACTCCCATATAGACTCCTTAATAATGTTAGCTGTGTGAGTGGGCGTGTATGCAACAGACCAGGTCAAATATGCTAGCAAGCTTTGACGTGTGGCACTGCTGGCTGATAAAGTACAGTACAGGTCCCTGCATGTTGATGCTGGTCTGCTCTGATTGGATGTATAGGCCTCTAGGATGAAGACTTAATACAGCCATGTGTAGAGCGGGGATTTTAATGTTGTGCCTGCATGCTCACAAGATGAAACAGGTTGAGTTTGAAAAGCATGCATGAGCACAACTGATTTACCATGGCATGAATACTGCAGCTTTTCCTTCACATTAGAATATTGTGCAGAAATGCACTAGAGGATAAAATGCTGTACAACTCACATCATGCTATAATTAAAACAGATCAATATCTGTTTCTGTTCACAAGTGTTCTGTGAACTGCACAGCAAACTTTCAAATATAAACACATCTACATGCCATATTTACCTGAAAGCAGAAGTATCACTTCATGTCCTCTTTATAAAGTAAATAAAAGAGAAGTGCATGTGAAATTGTTGATGTGTGAGATGGACAGAGATGGTGCTTGAAAGCACGTTGATCTGCCATAGTTCATCAATGCATGATTTTGAAAAGTTTTTTTTTGTGCAAAAATTCAGTTTTCTTTCTTATTTGATCAGACCTCAAGGTACCGCATGTCTCTAACCAAACCTGGCAACACACTTCCTCACAGTTATTGCAGTTTCCTGCAGTTTCATCCAGGAGTGTTGCAAACTATACAGTACATGTTTCTTGATCTTTGCAGAGCAAGCTTATGGAATAGACATTTTGGAAAAAGAAGTTTGCTTTTTTTGCTTATACATGAGGAGATCTATACCACTCATGTTTCTGTGGTATAAAATGTGAGATGGGGGAGACATCAGTCTACCGGCTCCCCTGAAACGTACAAATTAACATGTTTGCATTGGTTCAGTTTGAAATCCAAGTACTCCTAAACAGAAAAGTCATTTTAGTTTTTCTAATTAGCTTTTCTGTACATTAAACAAACATGTATGCAGATTTTTTTTTTTTTTTTAAACCAGAGGAACAGGGCCTGACCTGATCCATGCCCCTTCCATTTTCAGTATTTAACCAAAACCACCACACTTAGACTTCCGTGTTTCATTACGCCCACTGACGAGCAGTTGGTCTATGTTTAAGGGTATGGCAGGACGCAGTAAACACCACTGTGCAACAACATATTGATATACATTTAGTAGTTCTTTTTTAACGTGTATATATGCATGTGTGTACATTTTTATCCTTTGGTTTTACTCTATTTTATAGTGTTGTGCACATTGGGGGGCCATTGGGCTGGAATCACATTCCTCGTATTTCTGATAATACTTGGCAATAAATCTATACTTATGCCTAAGTGCACAAGCAACCAAGTATATACAAGCATTTCATATCGTACTTGGTGAGGGCAGGTCACTGCTGGTGAAATTTCCATTTTGTTAAGCTAAGAGATTCATCTCTAGGTTCATGTACAGACATGAAAGTCGTATCATTCTTCTCATCAAAGCGAATGAACAGTATCTCCCAAGATGCTGAACTGCTCCCTCGAGTAGGTCATGTTTCCACAGCTACACTCTAATAATGCCATCAGTTGATTATTAAAGATAAAAATTGAACCCTTATGACTCTAACCTTGAAAATGGAGGCAGAATCCACTTTGGATTATTTTGGCTTCTAGGAAAATACAAAACATTAGAGCCTAAGAGATATTTTAAATAATTCCTGCTTTTTTTTACAAAGGTTAATAATAATCCTTTTTATGATGCAACAGTTAACTCTTGAAGTTCTGTCTAAAGCAAAAGATTAAATTCTGTTTTACAGTGCATGCAGCTTTTTAAGTTTACATCTTCCATCAGTTAATTTTGTTTTCTTTTTTGTGTCTACAGTTCAAATCTCAACTCCTACATCTTCTAAAGGTTGTCCTGATGTGGCAGATGTGGAATTAGAGCATCATGCTGGAACCACAAGAGCCCAGCATGGAGATTGTGGAGTGGCTGTCCTCCCTCCGCCTGGTCCAGTACGCCCCATGTTTCCAGCAGGGAGGGTACAGAGTGCTGGTGGACTGCAAGGACATCACAGATGAGCGCCTGCTGGAGCTCAGTGTGCTTCCAACAGGCCATCGGAGGCGCATCCTCTGCAGTTTGGAAGCACTAGAGGTGAATCTGCAGAGTGGTGGTGAGGAGGGAGAGAAGGAGAATAGTGGGCGCCAGAGGATGCCCATGCTATACCCGAGACATATCTTTCGAAAGAACAAAAAGGAGAATTCATGTCAGGACTACC